TAGAGCAAAACAAACCTCATGCCTCAGAGCAAATGCTTATGCTTTTCATGTGTAAGGGAGCCATTTGTCCTTGGCCACGGCCCAACTGTCCCTCCAAGCAGCCAGAGCCAACCTTATTCAAACACTTAGATTCATTATGGAAATATGGCTGCCTTCGTCCATACGGAAGCAGCTGCTGCTTACCTAGAAGTGGGAGAGGATGTTGTTAAAAGCTAAACCTGACAAAGCCAAGGCCTCCTACTGTCGCCAGATAGGATCCTATGAGGTCCCAAAGCAGAAATGGGGGACTTTGACTCACCCCAACCAAAGGGCAAGTTGTAGGTTCACTGACTTCCAACACAGAAAAAGAATTTTCAAAATGCATCAGTAAGAGACATAAAGGGATTTATTAAGCAAAATGTAAAAAGAAACCGGATTCAAAGAAGTAGAGTTTGGTGGGGGTGGGGAGGCCATACAGCCTTGAGCCGGATATACTTATGGGAACTCGGGGTAGAAATCTGGGGAACTTGTGAATCTATGAAAAGGGAGGATTCAATTTACAGATGAAATGTTGTGGTCCTTCTTAGGGAAGAGGTGATAGCCACCACACATGATAAGAGAGAGCAGAAGGGTATTGGCCCAGGAATTTGGGAGTGTCCCTAGGATAGGTTATCTGGAATGTATATTCTAGCGTCTGGCAGGTTGGCCCATTTGCTCATTTGGTGGGCTATGTCAAAATGCAAACCATGCACTGTCTCGAGCTGAGACATGCTGTCCTCTGGTGGCTTCCTGAGGAGGGGGTTAGAGGAGGGTGTGCAGTGTTTCGGTGAAAGACTCAGGCCTAGAGCCTAGGGTTAAGGGTTATTATTTTAAGGTCCTTAGGAATTTAAGCTTAAGTAACTTTTGCATCCTAAAGCTGCAGATTTTATTAAAAGTACAGTGTTTTCAAAGACGATTTTCCTGGTCTCCTTTCTGCCTAACCTGATTTTTTCAGTCTCACAGTTCAGTGTATTCTGCTTGAAGGTCTGTGCAAGAGCTGTAATTTCAGTACTCTTTGCCACCACGCATGCACACCAGCAGCACACTAGCTCCTGAGATCCTGAGGAAATGATCTTATCATCGCCCCATTATTAATGTACATCGCACTTAAAGGGATTTGCTAAGCTATTAGGAGAACACGATTCCCAGCCCTTTGTCACTATAAAATCCCTTCGGTGCTACGAACTGAGTGAATCAGCAGGCTTTTGCACCTGGAATTACTAAAATATGCCCAAGGTATAAAAATGCGACTCCCTCCTGACGTCTGTCTTGGAAAGAACATTTTAAAAATTGCCTGCTTTCTAAGCCATATTGCGATAGTGCTTCCTACAAGTCAGGTTCCTTGGCTATTTTCAGCCACACCTTTGCTGTGGATGAATTTACTGAATATTTACATCTATAAGCAGTTATCTCTCGGTTGTTTCTCTTTTTTCTTCAATGCTTAGGATCCTAAGACAACGTGCATCCCAGTAAACTATACTCTCTCATCATGTCTTCTTCCCTATAACTCTTAAGATCTTTCTAAAACTCTTAATAGCATTACGATGATAATCTCTATGACATTATAATGTGACAGATTCATCTTTCTGTACTAACAGTGCTGACTAGCCTCATAAACTCTCCAAATTGATAACTAGCATTTCCTTTTTAAGTAGAAAAGGAAAGCACTAAGGATTCAGCCTTCCCCAAGTCATTCATCTTCTACCCGTGCTTCTCCGGCTCTTTGAAGGGTAAATGACCTTTGCCCTCTTCTGAATAACAGCTGCAGGCTGCAGAACGCTGGAAGCATCCAATTGCCTAATTGCTCTTTATAGCTTTTCCAACTCTGGGAGCCTTTTGATGGGTTTCCATCCACCCCTCTCCATCCGCCGCTGTATGAACCACATTCTGTGGATTTCCTCCTCTCTCTCATCAGTTCTTTCCTGAGCTGCCTGTGCGGGCCTCCCCTCTCTTGCTCCTTTCCCTCAGCTCAGTTCAGGCTCAGTTTGCTGCCCTGGGCTTTTCCCCTCACAGAACACTCTCCCTGGCAGCTCCCTTTCAGATGGCTTTAATTACCACCTGAATGCAGATGACTCCCAAATCTCTAGCCCCAGCCTTGACCTCTCACCCTCCTTTCAGTCCCATATTTCTTTCTGTCTGCAGAATATCTCTACTTGGGTGTCCCACCACCTCTTAAAACTAAACATGTCAGAAGCAGAGCTCACTATCTCTGCGCACTCCCCGCATTGTCTCCCTGTTCTCTGGGCCGTCAATGGCACCCTCGGCCTGAGGCTCCAGTCCCTGGAGTTCCCAGATGGGCTGGGGCAGCCCACCACCCACCCCACTACCACCTCTGTGCTACAACCCCACACTCTGTGACAACACTGTGATCTCAATTTGTTTTATTTCAGGCTTGTTGCTTGGAAAACCCCCTTTCTTGTTCATTCAGCTGGTGACAAATATTTCAGATCTCTGGTGCACTCCTTCCTTGGGTCATATTCATGTCCTGGAGCCCTCTGAACTGGCAAGGGTCACCTAAGCCCCTCCTTCTGATTCATGACTCTAAATTACAGAATATGTGAAGCTGCACATTTAGAAAACTTTTTATTTCCTAACAATTAAGAGCTTGTGGTGACCAATTAAACAGTAAACTCATTAGCAATTTGCCTGAGAGAAGAATGATATGGAAGTTTTAAGTGATTATTTCCACTCTTAATTCCTATTCTCTGCACCAAAAGTCACCACCACCCTGTCCCTGGGGCCCGACTGTGTGTCATTTTCCATAGCCTCCCTCCTTTCCCCACCGTGCAACAATTATTGTCCCGCTATGATGGAGATGGTCTCTTAGCTCACCAGGCAGCCTGCAAAGAAATTTGTTCACATGGTCTCATTTCATCCTCACAGCCACCTTAAAAGTAAGCATGAAATTAGCCTGTTTTGTGCGGCAAATAATAGCTTAAACTGGCTTTGCAAATAAGTGATATTTATTGCTCATACACCTGAGAAGTCCAGTGGTAGTAAGGGCTTCATTTGCTTTGCCATTATCTTAGCTCTGTTCTCTTCCATATGTTGGATTTATCTTCCAGCTGCTTTCCTTCACAATCAAAAAGGGCTGCCAGCAAGAATTAGGCCCACAGCCTTCCTCGTCCATATTTGAGAGGACAGATTTACCCCAGGACAAATGAACAAAAATAGATTTTTCTACAGAGCCTGCTGAGGTGTGAACTACAGCACATCCCTGACACCATCCGGGACAAGGCTCAGGAGAACAGCACTTGGCTCACACTCATCAGGGCCCACTGGTGAAGCCAGAGCTGGGGTCGATTTCACCCAAAGCCCATGTTGCACAAAGAGGGTAGGCAAGCACAGGATCAACCACTGTGACTGTTGGGGGGAAACTGTTATGTCATAGTCACTGTTGTTTACATGAGAAAACCTATGTCTGCAAAGCTAGGAAGCAAATTTGGATTGACATTTGGGCTCTCTGATTTCATTGTTTATGCCTAATATTAGGCCATAATTCCTCACTGTAAACATCTGGGATCAGTAGAAGGTCCAAATGTAGAGCGCACATTTCTTGCTTTGCAACTGGTCCAGGGAATGCTCTTCACTTGCTTTCATTCATTTAAATTTTTACCTCTAGCAATGGAGCCACAGTTAACTTATCTTACTCTCCTACCATCCTGCTAAGGTTGACAAGGACTTTTCCTTCAAAGTGAAAATGTATCACATACACCCCAGTCATTTTCTATTTGGAGCAATTATGCTTATTCACAGAAGATTATAAAATCCTCAAAACTAGACCAGTGGTGGAGAAGTGTTCTCGGCCACTGTACCTTCAGGAGTCGTTATCACCTAAAGAATATCAGTGACAACATCCTTCTCCAATGGCTCTGAATGACACCTGCCTTGTGTGGGGTAGAACTTTTGCTAACTGATAACTTTCTATCAAACAGCCGTCAGAGCATTAAAACTTCCTCAGAAAAGGAAGGCATTATTGAGGAGCCAGAAAGGCTTGCTCTTTATGTCCCCAAGGTCCAGGTCCATTCCCTTTTTGATTTTGTTATCCAGCTCCCAGAGTGGCCTAACGGGGGGAAAATGGACATGCAAAATAAAGGACATGCAAACCTCTCTGAGGTTACTCCACTGAGATATGAGGGATGTTTGTTACAGCAACCTCACTTAAACTATGCTGATTGGTTCGCTAGAGGACAGGAGAAAGTGGCAATGTCCTTCCATATTTTCCTCAAATTCGTTTTCCTGTCTTATTCAAGAGACCAGGTTAGAAACAATAGCAGCTTCTGGATGAGAATTCTTCCTCTCCCTGGAAACAGTCCTGCTCAAGCATGTCCCTTTCCTTGGTCAGGCCTCTCCTCCTACTTTTCCAGCCCAAGCACAGATCCTTCCTCCTCCCATCTGCCTTCTCGTAGCCAATTTCTAAGGAAAAGCCCCTTCCTCCTGTGTTTCTCTACTTCCTATGACATTCACTTCACCATGTGTCTGCTATTCCCCACGTGCAAAATAACTTCAGCCTTACAATCCAGAGATCTCCACTATGAAGACATTTATCAACTAAGGAAGTAAGAATGGGAGATGCTGGTGGAAAACCCCCCACTTCCCAACAGAGGGCTGGAAGAAGACAAGTGTGAAGGAGGGGTAAGGTTGTCAACAAGAAAGGGAATCTGAGGAAGTCATGTTTTTAATCAAGGAAGGCACAAAGTACAGGATATAGTTCCTTTGTTCGGGAGCGCGTGTGATCCAGATTAAAGTGGACACTACACTTCTGAACATTAGGGCCAATTCTGATCATATTTATATCCCCGAGGGCCTGGCATCATATTAGGAACAGAATGAAGATTCAATAAATGTTGGACACATGAAGCTTAATTGGTATTACATGATACCCTCAAAAACTGCTGATAGCTTCATTTTAGATCAAAAAGTGTAAGACTGAATTTGGTTTTCACCTATATGACTTACAGTATTTCATAAGATTTGCTTACCTCTTGCACTTGCTGACAGTGTAGCTCCATGATGACCACAAATGTCATCACAGGCAAGTTACATGAGCTTTGCTCTGTGTTTTGTTTGATGACAGTGTGTTTCCTAGTCTGATGCTACGTAAAGTGGTTGCTTGTGTAGCTTGTTCATCTGCTTCCACCTTGAAAAATTAAAGGTAATATTATTAATTGGCAAAGCCACTCAATTGACTCAAGCAGAAGTGAAGCCGGGCTCTGAAAACAGTAACAGAATCTCAAATAAGCACTGGTACTTCCCTCTAGTTCAAGTGTGGCCCTATTATTCTTTACCTGCACAGGATATTAATAAAGGGGGCCATCCCTACTTGTTATGATCTGGAGGACCTACACTGGACTTTATATTCAGCCTCTTTTTACAAGTTATCTGGCAACTCCTCTCCCTCCATCTTCACGCCCTCAGGAAACTAAGCCATGATCTCCATCTTCACCATTGGGCTTTGTCTCTAGTTCTCACTTGAATTTAGTTCCATTTTTATCAGATGCCTTTAAAATATTTTATCTGAGTGTCCCCTTATCTGGATTCATTATTTTTCCCAACCTTTCCAGTTGTCTACAGTATCAGCATTCTCCCAACCGCCAGGATGGAAATCCTATCTAGCTGCTACCCTCTCCTCATACTGTTTCTAAGGAGCAAGTCCTGCTGGTTCCTTTCCACCAGAAGGCTGTGAGATGTAGCTCTTCGTGCATATTCTCACCATCCCCATGTAACACAGGCCTCAGTGCTGCTGTGGAATGACAGAGAAACACTTCAACCCTTCCACTGACACTCCACTGATGGTGATCCTGCATCAGTCAGGGCCCAGCAAAGAGGCAGAAGTTGGGTGCTATAAAGAATTGCTGGGCCAGGGATTTAGCTCAGTGGTTCGGTGGCCTGCCTTGCAAGCGCAAAGACCTGAGTTCAATCCCCAGTACAAAAAGGAAAAAAAAAAAAAAAAAAAAAAAAAATTGCAAAAATATTTGTGTAATAGTAGTAGTAGAGTAAGTTCGTGGTTAATATGTTTCATAAATATGATTTGTTTAAATATGTAAATTAGGCTTGTTACTCTCATATTGCAAACACAGACCTTGGTGAAAACCCAAGAAAAAAAAGAAAAAAAAAAAAAAAAAAAAAAAAAGAATTGCTAACAAGATATTGAAAAACAGAAAATTCAGAAAAGGAGCATTAAGATATCAAGAGGTACAAGAGCAAAAAGCAATTCTGGGCAATGAAAGCAAAGCAAGGAGCATCAAAATCCCTGGCTTGAAATCATACTACAAAGCTACAGTGATAAAAATAACATGTTACTGGCAAACACACACACACACACACATGGGCCAGTGGAGCAGAGCAGAAACAATTCTAAACACATTTAGCTGCCTTATCTTTGATAAATGAGCCAAATATCTTCACTGGAAGAAAGATACCCTCTTTAATAAATGGTGCTGGGGAAACTGGCTTTCCACAGGTCCAAGACTAAAATTATACCCATATCTCTCACCATGTACTAAACTAAAACTGAAATGGATCAAAGATCTAAATATTAAAACAGGAACACTTAATCTGCTGGAAGATAAACTAGGTAGAACTCTTGAAAAACACATATGTAGGCAAAGATTTTTAAGAACAAAACCCTAGTTGCACAGGAAATATCACAAAGAATCAATAACTGGGATCTCTTCTTATTGAAAAGCTTTTGCACAGTAAAAGAAATCACCAACAGCAAAGAGGCAACCCACAGAGTGGGAAAAAAATTTTTCCAGCTGTTCCTCAAAGGACTAATATCTAGAAAATATAAAGAACTCAAAAAAATCAGACTCCCCAAATTTAAAGACCCAATCTAAAAATAGGTATCTGAAATTATAGATGCTTCTCAGATGAAGGAGAAATGGCAAATAAATATATGGGAAAAGTTTAATATCACTGGTCATTCAAGAAATGTAAATTAAAACAACACTGAGATTCTTTCTCATTCCAGAAATAATGGCTATTATAAAGAAATCAACTGGTCTAGGGATTTAACTCAGTGGTTCTGCTACTGCCTTGAAAGCGTAAGGTCCCAAGTTCGACCCCTCGTACCAAAAACAAAAAAGAAGAAAAGACAAGAAATCAATCAATAACAATTACTGGTGAGGCCGAGGGAAAAAAGGAACCACTCTCCACTGTTGGTGGGAGGGTAGACTGATGTAACCTCTATGGAAATCAGTGTGGAGATTCCTCAAAAAACTCAAACTAGAGGTTCCATTTGCCCCATCTTTTCCTCTTTTTGATATCTTCCCAAAAGAATTAAAAGCATCATACCACAGCAATATATGCATACCCATGTTTATAGCAGCACAGTTTGTAATAGCTAAGTCTTGGAAACAGCCCCAAAGCCCATCAGCTAATGAATGGATAAAAAGGATATCTTTTTTTTCTACAATGGAATACTACTCTGCCATAAAGAAGGATGAACTTGAAACATTTCTAGGTAAATGTGTGTACCTTGAGACAAAACTCTTAGGTGAAAAATAAAGTGGACACACATGTTCAAATATCACATGGTTTCTCTGGTGTGAGAAACCAAAAGTATAAATAAGGGCCAAAATGTATAATAGACATTGTGAATTAGGAAGAAATGTTCAAATGGGAAAGGAAATGAGTGAGGTAGGAGGGAGAAAGGAAGAAAGGGAAAAGGAAAAAAAAGAGAATAGAAGGAAAAAATGAAAACACAGCTTCTGTAAATAAGGAGGGGAAGAAAGGTTGAAGGAAGGGGTGGGAAACAGAAAAAAAGAAGAATGGAGATATGTACAGGTACAGATTCCATATGATGAATATTATCAATACGTATATCTAAAATATACAAACGAAATTATTTTTAAATCACAAAATTTAAAAAGATATCAAGAGGTAACAACTCCAGAAAGTGACTACTATGCCTAAGGCTTATGGAACAAAGAGAAAGACTACAAGGATTCAAATTTAGAAAGGTGGCCTTCAGGGAGCCGAAAAGCCCAGGCCTTTGAACAAGGAAGCTTCTCAGCTGTGGCTGGTATTTCAGGAGCTGGGAGTGAGAGAAACAAATTCATCAGAGTATTGGAAAGAAAAAAAAAAAAAAACTAACTGTGTTCCTTGGCTGCTCCTGACCTCGTCTCCCCATCAGGTTTTATGAAGCGAGGCCGGGTGATGTTCTCAGGAATAGGAAGCAAACAAGAAGCCCACAGAAAACAGGAGAGCAAGTCTTCCAAGTTCCGGTTAGCATCCCCGCAAAGCCTCTTAGAGAACCCACTGGCAAAGCGAATCACGTGCCAGTCCCAGCCCCAGCATCACTAAGGGACTGTCAGAGTGGGGTTAAGGACAGAAAACAAGAAACCGCACATGATAACGTGAAGGTCACTTGTCATCATGACCTTCATCTTCTTCGTTTCTTCCGGCTCAGGTCCAAAGGCCAAACCCTAACACTGTTCCTTCCTCGGGTTTCTAACTTCGCTACTCAACACCACAGATACCCTGCTTGAATCAGTTTGCCTCTTGACTAGTAAGCCTGATGAATCTCAACTTTCTGCCAGTGTCACTTTCAGTGGCCTTGGTAATATCTTGCCAATAAAGTTACTGTCACGGCCAAAATTCTCTGTCCCTATTTCAGAGCACTATCAATTCATCAAGCTCAGCAAGGGCCCACTCTGAGATTTTCTCTGCCAAACTGAGAGTGGGATGTCTCTTTCTTCAGGAAGGAACTCCAGCAGAGGAAGGGCAACACGCTCTCTGGCAGAGGAGTGGAAATATGCTGAAAGGGAAGTCCTTGAAAATGTAGATTTGGGCCGGGCATTTAGCTCAGCGGTTCTGCGGCCTGCCTTGCAAGTGCAAGGACCGAGTTCAGTACCCAGTACCAAAAGAAAAAAAAAAAAAAGAAAAGAAAAGAAAGTGTAGAATTTAAAATAGCCCCAGCAAGAGCCCAGTACAGAAACACAGATCAAGTCATGGATCCAGCCTAAGCTTGTCTCTCTCATAGCCACACCTTGGGCCAAGAAAACAAGAAGCATCTCAGGCCTCTGTGCCCTTCTCATCTCATCCGAGCTCCCTACATGGGACTTCCTTTTCTTTTCTCTGTCCTTAAAGGTAAAATTCTCTTTAGGAACAACTTTCGAACTCACTTGTTCCTAGCACCATGGTTCCAAAAGAACAAGCCTCCCAACTTTTGGTAGTGTGAACTAGGAAACAGAGAGTATAAATCTAAGTGTGAAGAAAGTAATTTAAACGCGTTTACTCTCCTCTATCCAGGGCAAATCTTATACCCACAGATACTAACTGTCATTCATTAGGCTGGCAAGGTATCTAAAGATCGATAATACACTGTATTTTAATAAGGAGATAATGGCACAATAAGATTTATGTTATGGTTGCATTCATTCATAATTATGTACATAAGAAGTAATGTGTTTAACAAAAAGATCTAGAAAGATACACATCAAATTGTTGAACAGGCTTAACTCTAGAGAGAAGATTTTGGAGGAAAGAATATTGAGGGATTTTTCTTTCTATACCCTTTTCATTCTATACCCTTTTCACTGTGTAATTTTTTTATTAAAGTTAATGTATTTGTTTGTAATTTTAATGGAAAAAATTAATTATAGATCCCAGGTTAAAAATAATGAGATTGTGATGGTCACAATCGACATCAGAAACAGTTAGTAAAATTCCAGATACCCATTCACTCTTTTCAGAAATGTACTAAATTTAACTACCTGTTTACAAGAAAAGACAATTAAGTTTATAGATTGATTAATATAATGGCCAACTGTTCTTTACCTATTTACAGATAGCAGTGTATGTATTTCTGTGTAGATTTAAAAGGAGGCTTGTCATCCTTAAAACTTTATTTTTAAGCTTGTCTGCAGCTAAAAAATCATTGGAGTCTATCTATACAATGCAGTCTGCAGTGTACCTCTGGCACACACCACTGAACACTAGAACACAGCAAAGATCAATGGGAAGCCCGTTATCCCTGGGTTTGGCAAAGTGTTTAAAGCTGTTTGGGTTTAAGTATTCAGGATGATGAAATGTTAGCCCGTCTGAGACTTCAGCCTTTCCTCAGGTGCAATTTCGACAGCTGTGTAAAGGATTTATGCAAGTTTGGATGAATTCAAACACAGGTGTAAAAGATAA